ATTATGGTGCACTAAGTCAAAGCGGCGACAAAGCGCTACATACACACCTCCATATATACTCACATACATACACACACATATATCGGGTTTTCCAATAGGAATGATATGATTTCTAAGTGTCGCTTCAGCCAATTTCAATATATCAATATCTGTAATTTCCGTACTTCTTTCGAAATGCAGCTGGTTACTATCAATGGAGGGCGATATAGCTCGATGATAACCAACTTTTTATGGCCGCAATTGAAAGACGTTGATCTGTGATTCGGTAATATTGAACGCGTTATTCATGGCATACGAGTTGATTTAAAGGAAAAAGACTTCGAAAATTGGGTTAATCGAATTCGTTCCTGCCAAAAGAAGTCGTGGAGGCCATTTGAATGATGTTATATTCAGAGTTAAGTATCGATTGTACTTCACATTAAATAAAAAATATTTGAATTTCCTTAACAGCTAGAGTTCGTTTTTTTTTTTTAAATAATCATATTACTCTTATTGGAAAACCCTGTATAAATAAATATAACTGCTGATAGTTCGCTGTTCGCGTTGTCAAGTGATTGACTAGCCAAAGCGACTAGCAGCCAAAAATGTTGCTCGATATGCACACTTACACACACAGGCAGTCGTGGCCTATTGACGGCGGAGACTTTATGGCTACAGTGAAATGAATTAATCTTGAGCGTGTTCGCAATAAGTGGCGCATCTCCTCATGCCGCCACCGCGCTTCGACACCCCAGCGCCAGCCACCACCCGCCCGTTCGACAAACCGCATTGCCGTAGCACCGCTATGTGCGAACGTGCCCGCATACATGACAGCCACCAACGGGCTGCGGTTAGCGCTATGCTGTGACGTAAATAATTGTGCTGATTTCTTAAAATGACAAGCGAAAAAAAGCGAAATAAATCACCAAAGTGTGAATAATGAATAAGAAGCAATAATGCATAAAGTGCAATAAAAATAAGCAATTAAATTAATCGCGCTGAGACGTTATTAAGTGTTCGGGAAAAAGGCAAAAAAAACTGTTTGAGGTATGCAGAGATTAGCGCTTGAGTTAAGTGCAAATACTTAAGTTATGTATGTGTGTATATGCTTTTGCTCTAATAGCGCTGAGCAATTATTAATTCATATGCAATTGGTTACAACAATTCTAATAGCTTGGCATTATTAGAACTTTACGGATCAACTAGCACAATTTTGAATACTTTTATATTTGCTTGTTAATTCGAGAAAATAAGTATTAAGTAATCATTACATGAAATGAAATAAAGAAAACTGCTGAAATGTGCAATATTCACGACTGTGTGTTCCAAGTAAGCAGCAGTAAAGAATAATTCCATCGAAGCTTACGAAAAAAATGCTGACAAATTTATTTTTGCATTTTTATGTATTTCGCTGCTTGCCAAATTTTAGTTCATTGACGATATATTAGGTTGGCCGTTATTTCCCTTCAGCTTTTTTGTCTTTTGAATTTCGCGGCTATGTACAAAGCGCTACAGAGCTCGTATCTGGCAACACTATACATAATTTGAAAGGTCTTGACATAACCTACAAAACAACGCTATGTATGATTAGTTTGGATATTGCGTTCAACAGTTATAAACGTGTAAACATGGAGTTCACTAACGCCGAAATTCGCGCTATTTTAAAGTTTTCCTTCGTTAAAGGCAAATCCGCTAGAGAAACGTTCCGTGAGATTAATGGTGTTTTGGGGGATGGTACTCTATCACTTCGAACCGCGGAGGAATGGTTTCGACGATTCAGAGCCGGTGAAAACGACACCATGGATAAGCCAGCCGGCGGAAGACCTGTGACGACAAATACCGATCAAATCATGGAATATATCGAGTTAGACCGGCATATGGCATCTCGTGACATCGCCCAGGAGATGGAAGTTAGTCACCAAACCATTTTGAACTATCTGCAGAAGGCTGGATACAAAAAAAGTTTGATGTTTGGGTGCCGCATAATTTGACGCAAAAAAACCTTCTGGACCGAATCAATGCCTGCGATATGCTGCTGAAACGGAACGAACTCGACCCATTCTTGAAGCGGATGGTGACTGGCGACGAAAAATGGATCACATACGACAATATCAAGCGAAAACGGTCGTGGTCGAAGGCCGGTGAATCGTCCCAAACAGTGGCCAAGCCGGGATTGACGGCCAAGAAGGTTTTGCTGTGTGTTTGGTGGGATTGGAAGGGAATCATCCACTATGAGCTGCTCCCATATGGCCAGACGCTTAATTCTACCATCTACTGCGAACAACTGGACCGCTTGAAGCAGGCGATCGACCAGAAGCGTCCAGAATTGGCCAACAGGAAGGGTGTAGTGTTCCACCAGGACAACGCCAGACCACACACTTCGTTGATGACTCGTCAGAAGCTACGGGAGCTCGGATGATAGGTTTTATCGCATCCACCATATAGCCCGGACGTAGCGCCAAGTGATTACCACCTGTTCCTGTCCATGGCGAATGCCCTTGGTGGTGTGAAGTTGAACTCAAAAGAGGCTTGTGAAAAGTGGCTGTCCGAATTCTTCGCAAATAAGGAGGGGGGCTTCTACGAGGAAGGTATTATGAAGTTGCCGTCTAGATGGAAACAGATCATCGAACAAAACGGCGCATATTTTAACTAAATCCTATCACTGTAACACTTTTTATAAAGCATTGAATGAAGAGCAAAAAAGCGGAAGGGAAATAACGGCTAACCTTATATATGTATATGCTCAAAAATTCGTAGAAGAATACGCATACATACATATTTAGGTATAGTCATCCGTATACATACATACATATAAAACAAATGTTAAAGCATATATAGACATATGTAAATCAATCTAAAATATTTAAATATATGTGAGCGAAAATTATAATTTTGTAATTTATTTTTTGTGGAGTTATTTGTGTTCTTAAGAAATACTTTTTCCCTTCAATTTATTTATAAAAAAAAATTAATTTCTTTGTTTGCACTGCATTAATGATTATCCGTTTTTTAATTTTATCATTTATTTTTTTAGTATAGTTATATACACATTTACATAAACATCATTATTCCTGGTATAAGTAAATATTACATAAATTTGAAAAAGAAATAAAAGTAAAAATAAAAAAATTTATTAAATATAAAGAAATAAATATAATTGTGAAAAGCATTTTTGGCAAGTTTACTTATTTTCTTACTTAAAAAAAATAATTAAAGAAAAGTTTTATAAAAAAATTTAAATAAAACAAGGTGAAATAAAAAAAATTCTAAAATAAAAATATTACAAAAATAATTAATAAAAAAATGTATTAGTAAAAAAAATAAAAATTTATTTTTAAATAATAAAGCAATATAAGAAACTAATAATTAAAACCAAAAGTAATTAAAAACAAAATAGAAAAATAATATAAAAATAAATATAAATTTGAAGGAATTTCTGGCGAAGTTTCCCTATTGCAATTATTCTCAAAAGAAATATATATAAGAAAACAATATAAAAAAACTTAAATTATTATATACAAAAATATGACAATAATAGTAAAAAGAAATTAAATAAATAAATTAGAAAAATAATTTAAAACTTAAAAATTTAATTAATGATATTAAAGCTAAAATTATTAAAAATGAAATAAAAAACAAAATAAGAAACAATTAAAACAAAGTAGAATAAAAATAAAAAAATCCCTTAAAATTTCTTTTTAGCATCAAACTGATATTTCAAAATTTTCATTAAATCTTATGACCATCCACAACAACTTTGCGATCAACGAATCAGAATTTCAATTTGTCATACAAAGGACAAAATTGTTATTTAAACAATTATTAGTTATAGTTCTAAGCTTGTTGCTGCTTTCTGTTCCGCATTTTTTTCTTAAAATTCAACTCATATATAATAAATAATAAAATACTTTGAATTTGTCATATGTGGAATTTGCGCAATTATGCATTAAAAAATTATAAATATAGTTCTGAACAATTTAATTTTGCTCCAGTAGGTAGTAGTAATATTTCTCTGGTTTTTGTCTACCCATGCATATATACATATATATATTGATATTAAGTTCTGACTGTGAGCAAAGCTGTTCTGGTATGCCATATAATATTTGCACTTATTAATCATAATTGTTATATATGACAACTAAGAAGTCATACTATAAGCCTGTTCTTTTGTTACCCAATGCGCGGCCCTAACACTTTTTAAGTTACTTTCGTCGACGGTTTTCATGCTTAGCTAAGCATTGATGGATTTAGATTTGGACCTATGTTTATGGTCAATTTTGGTTTATTTCAGTTCTGCACACATTTATAAATATTTATATAGGTACATATGTAAGCATATGACTTTTTTCTTAGGCACATATGGCCTCATATATGTATACCTCGTATGGCACTTGAGGAAAGTATTTGTATATTCTATTTATTATCAAGTAACTATTTGTTTGAATTAAAAATGCCAAAGGTGTTACCATACCGCCAAAAGCGAAATATACTTACATACATATGCATATATGTATAGTATATATATGCACTTGTTAGTCCAGTGGCTCGCACTGATTCGCATGATTGAACAGTTTCCCGCAATATTTAATACCGCTTAGCTATATGTATGCTTTCCTTTATAAAGCTATGTGTACTTGAAATAGCGTGGGAATGGGTGATTATGAGGTAAGCGTTTAACGGAAACTTGTTTCCCCACGCGCAACTACAACACGCTGACGCCGCCGCCTAATAGCTAATCGAGCATGCTGGAGCACAAGTAACCATCCACTTAGCGGTTTGATTACTGGTATCGTTGAGTTTGTCACAGCGACAGAGTATTTCCGAAGACCAACAAAGCAAGGCACACTCATCACTGTGGCGCGCTTTGAACAGGAAGTCTCTGATTATTATAGATACTAGGCCATAGATTAGAAAAGCAGGCAAATATTTACATATTCACAAACCAACACTACTTGTATTTACCTCACCTTTTACACATACATATGTATTTACGAAGTCTTTCCGTTTTCCGCTACTTGCAGTTACACCAAACCACAGTCGTTCGAAGATTGTGTCGGCGATGAGCTACCCCATGGCTGGGAAGAAGCCTACGATCCACATATAGGGCGCTACTATATCAATCACATAGAACAATCGACACAGCTAGAGGATCCGCGCCAAGAATGGAAGAGCGTACAGGAGCAAATGCTGAGCGATTACCTGTCGGCCGCACAAGATCAATTGGAAAACAAGCGTGAACTGTATGATATTAAGAAGCAGCGTTTGCAGATAGCGCAGGAAGAGTATAATCAGCTGAATAAATTGGCGACCAGCAGAAGTAGTTGTAAGTATCTTTAGTGTTGCACAAGTGTAACCCAATTTACCAAGTCCTTTACTAACAACCACTTGTTTCATTGCAGTGTGTTCCTCTTCGAGCTCAATGAGTCGACACGATCCTGATTTGTTGCGCGCCGAAGTCGCCTCATCGTGGGAGCGTGTACGTCTGTTGCGGCAGGAACTGAAGCACATCACACATGATATTACGCATACCCAGCGTGGTATGAATACGCTGTATTCAGTGGGCGAGAAGATCAATGCACGACAGAATGGTTGCTATGACATCGCGGAAGTACAGGCCATACGCGAGGAGATGCTGAAGGTGCACAAGTCGCTGGTGTCGGGTGAGAAGGTGCGCGAAGAGCTAATGCGCAGTTTGGTAGAGATTAAGAATGAGCTAAGTCGGCAACAGATAAACGATGAGAATGCTGAGCTGATGAATGCTGCCTCACCGTTTGATCGTGTTTGTGTTGCATCGCAGACGGATCTGTGTGGTGCCGGCGATATGAATAGTGGAGCACGTTTTGCCGAGATGGCCAAGACGAAGTTGCAATACTCCGAATGGCGTAAGCACATTAAAAAACTGCAACAGCAGTTGGTGGATCATGTGGAACGTATCGACCCCGGCCAGTTGGAGTCGGATAAGGATCGCATTTTATTAATACAGGAAAAGGAGAAACTACTGACCGATTTGAATAGCATTTCAATGGAATCGCGTCCACACGAAGAGGTGCACGTCATACAGCAAACACGCCGTAAACTAGAGGAAGATCTGAAAGAGGCGTATGAGGCTACAAATCAATGCATAGCAAAACGTCTGCGTTTCCACGAAGAAAAGCAACTGTTGGTTGGCGAGTTGCAGGAAGCGCTCAAATCTACAAAGAAACTAGAAGAACGCCTCAAGTCATTCTCATCGGAGAGCACATTCTCTATTAGCAGTGGTTCTAGTCTGGGTTCATTGTCGACGGCGAGCAGCAAGAGCGCGCTCAGCTTTACCGACATCTACATCGATCCCTTCGCGGTTGATTCGCAAATTGATGTAATCGATTTGCAGCGTCGCTCACAGCGTTTCTACCAACAGCAACAACTGCAAGCCGCACAGGCCCAGTTACAGATACAACAACAGCACCAGCAACAACAACACCAGTCACAAGTGCATACAATTGCGCATGCACATCCACAGCTACAACAGCAACCCTCATCAGAGTTGTCGCTGTCTCCGCGTAGCAGTCTCTCTATGGAAACACCACCCGCCTCGCCTATGAAATACAATGCCAATACCGATCAAGTAGCGATCACTAGCCAGCGGCTCAAGGAGGAGCCTACCTATGCCAACACACCTGCAGGCGCCGCTTTGCCGCCGCTGTATGAGCCAAATTCAGCATTGGCTGCTGCAATGGCACGTACACATGCACAAGACCTGGACTCAACACTGCTGGATTGCATGGTATTGGAGGCCAAACTGCAAAAACTTAACTTATCCGCACCACTTAACCTGCCCGCTGCGCCGTTGTCGCCAATTTCCGAAAAGCCATCTTTGCTGGATCTGCCGCAAGAGATGCTCAGCCGTTCGTCATCATCTTCGAATACACGTTCCGTATCCGCGGCGGTAAGCAATGAATCAGTCGCTGGCGACTCTGGCGTTTTTGAAGCTTCGCGCGCACATTTCCCGCGCAAAGAGTTGGCGCAAGTGCAGATCGGGCTGAAATATTTGAAGGATAAGGGTGTACTAGTCGTATCGCTGGAACGTGCGAACAATCTCTCAGCGCTGTGGACTGCGACCGCGGACAATTCACAAGTGTAAACTAACTTTAAAAATATTATGGTAATAATTATTTAACACATATTCTTTTACTATAACAGTTATTTACGCGCCGCTTTGTTGCCCAACTCGCTTACTTCGATTCGCACAAAAGCCATGTCGGACTTCCAGAAACCTGTCTTCAGTGACACCTTTGCCGTGCCCATAACGCTCAGCAAATTGCAGACGAAGAGTTTACAGGTGACTGTGGTCAGCATGACCGGCCAAAAAGAAGAGATCATCGTAAGTTAACAAATAGCTCGCTTAAATATCTGTTCCTCAATAATTTTTTCCAATTCTTGCCATATACAGGGCACAGTACAGATCAGCATGGCCGAATTCAACGCCGACGATTCCACACTCAAGTGGTACAACGTGCTCAGCTCCAAATTTATGCCAACATTTGAACCACTAGATATGCCTTCAACGAGCGCGGCCGCCGCTGCCGCTGCTGGTGTTGCTCCTGCAGCCACTGCTCCTGCGGCTGCAACAACACATGTGTCCGCATCCAATTCTGTCGCCACAAATGCACCAAATGTCGCCAAAGAAGAGTCATCGGATGAATCAACAATTACCTCGTCACAAACCTCAACGCTGACACGCAATCAAGTGCCGCCCTTCGAGATGCAGGCACAAATCACCGAAGAAATAGAACAACTGAGTGTAAACGACGAAGATGATGAAGATGAAGGGGATGATGATGATGACGACGATGACGACAATGAGTTGAAGGAACTGACAGCTGGTAAGTTGAAGCGAAAGTAATATAAAACCTCAAGACTTGTACTTATATATATTTTGGCTCGCACTTTAGCTGACTTCACAAAGAAAATGCTGGAGGCCTACAATTGCATCGATCTGATTAAGCAAGAATATGCGGACAAAGAGACTAACACCGAGTGCGCATTTGCTCCCGAAAAATTGCGTGCTGCACAACAGCAACAGCAAATGGCCGACGATAGGCCCGTAAAACGATCGCAGACATTCACACCCTCAGCGGCAGTCAATAAAAATCGTTACATCTGCCGACTTAACCGCTCCGATTCGGATTCGGCAATGCATTTCGGCGTGACGCCGCATCCCTTCCATCGCGGTGCTGTCGAGCGACGTTCGCTGCGCTTCCACACCAAAGCGCCGAAGCAAGTGACGAGTAAGTAGAACATAGAAAGCTCTTCTAATTGCAATTTGGTATACTTAATAATATTTTTAACGGTATATTTCCAATACAGAACTTCGTCATACACATATACCGAGGACCAGTTTAGACTTGGAGCTGGATCTGCAAGCGCAGCATAGCAAATTAGATTTCTTAAATGATCAAATTGCCAAATTACAGAACTTAAAGCAAGTGTAAGTAAAAATTAAAGATGTTAAAGAATGATAAGGTGTACTTAAAGTGTTTTTTTTTTCTTTCACTGCTTTAGTCTGGAGAAGGGCCGTGATAATCGCGATCCCTTAATTGCCGCCTGGGCGATTGAGAATGAGGAGTTCCAACGCTTGGTCGAGCGTGCTGATCCGGCCAAATGCCCTGAGGAGAAGCAATTGCATAAGCTTTTGATGAAAACTGCCAAAGAAATTCACAAGCTGCGCAAAACCAAGGTGCCGAAAGGATCACCCGATTTGTTGTCGTTCAAGTGAGTGAAAAAAAACTAGTTATATTTTTTAATCTCAATATTCGTTGTAAATAATTTTTTTTACGAGTAAACAATGCAATAAATTAAGAAAAGAGAAAAACTCTTTGGAAAAATTATTTGAGGTAATTAAGACGAAATTTGATCCAGTGTGTTTGGTGTTCAAATATATTAAATTAAGCTTAAACAATTAGAGTATTAGTCAGTAAACTTTTACTTAAGCTTTTTATTAAATAAATAAATGATTACTGTTATGGAAACCAGAAAAATAATTTTTAGGATATTATTTCGTCAATTTATTGTCCTTTATTTAATAATTGTGCAATTAGTTACTTATCTCTTGAATTGAGAACAATTAGGTGTTAAATTGCATAACTTAATTACTCAATTAGCCGATTTTTTGAACAAAGTACTAAATTGTAGTTCATATCCTCCTTTTGCAGAGAGAAAATGACCTTCTTCACACGTAAGGGCCTACCAGTGCCAGACTTACCAGATCGCGCCGACTTCGTATTGCCCGATGCCGATCTGATTGAAGAGGAAGATGAAGAGGAGGACGACGAGGAGGATAAGGCACGCGAAACCGCGATCGCTATCAATACAGCGCTTGTGGCCAGCAATAATCGAAATAAAAATCTCAGTGAGAATCATTTGGGCATCACAGTCAGTCGTCGGGAATTAAACGCAGCTAAGAGCACCGCAGCTGCGGCCGCAGCAGCAGCGGAGGCAGCTGCAAAAATGAACGCAGCCAACGCGAACGTATCAACGCCGAGCACAAGTGACTCAGCTGCAAAGGCGCTCGTAAGTAATAAGAACAGCAATGGCGAGCAAACGGACGAGCGCTATGACTATGTGGTCGATCGCAATTACGGTGTGGAAGTTTAAAACCACACATCGCTGCTTAACTGTATAGGTTGTAAGTGTATATATTTTTTTGTTTTTAACTAAGAGATAACACAACAAGAAGAAACAAATATTGTGCCTTACTCGTAGTTTTTTCAAAGTTTAAAGGATGTCACGGAAATGGAAAAGATATCTTTTAGCTTTTTTAAATTAGTTACTAAAGTAATTTGCTGTACAAAATTTAGTATTTGCATATTAGCAAAAGAAAATATATATATTATATTATGAATATAGTTTTAAGTCGCCGAAAAGGCCTACAACTGGCACGCGCACGCTGGCGTTGGTACTAAAATTTTATAAAATATTTTTTTAAATTGAATTTGGACCTGAATGGGTTATCACACACCCAAGAATTTATTGATTGAATTGTAACTGAGCTATAATATAATAGATTTTTTTGCAGACCAGCGAAAATAGCTAAAACACAAACAAAAAACCAAAATTGGCCGCGACTTGTCGTAGCGTTCTAAGTTGTAACTAATTATACAAATGTAATATAGTTAAGCCGAAGCTCGTGTAAATTCTACAAGCGAAAAATTTATCGCATGCGATTTTTTGCTAAAATATTTACATTATTTCTTATTTATTAAATTTTTTTATACATTATTATATTTTAATATATTGGAAGGCTTGCGTTTTTGTTGAGCTCGATTTTATAATGTTTTGTTGTAATTTATATTGAATGATGGCAATCCACATAATTATTATTAGTAGTTACTATAAAAATATTACATATTAAAACATGATTTACATACATTTAAATATTTATACACAATTTGGCAAATTATTTAAATAATTAGATATAAATATTTTTACTTGAAAACTGCAAAAAGGTTAGAATTTGTGCAAGGAAGAGAAAAACATATTATTCTTGTTAAGTCTGCCAGAATTAGTTACAATTTGAGTTTGCAAGCAATCTAGCTGAGGAGCAAATATTTTGTTGTTTTAGTTTTAGATTATATTTAAAAAAAAAGTGTGCATATATAATAACTGTAAATATAAGTGTAGAAAAGGCAAGTGAAATGAATATAAAATAGGCTGGAACGCATATAATATATATATATATGATATTGAAAAATTGCAACTTTCTGTTAGTCAAAAATAAAATGATTTCCAAATCGTGTTTTGTTGCTCAGCTGAGTTGTTGTGTTTGGTTTGCTCTTTGCCTGATTTGAATTTGCGTTTATTTGTTTTGAACTCTTGTGAAATTGTAAATCTAGTTTAAGTGTAATGTTTATCTTTTTAATTTTTGGTGGACTTTATGCTTGTGTGTTGAATCGTTTCGATTTGAAGAATATTTACCAATGTATGTATATTGTTTGATTCATAAGCTATTTTATCTAAAGTGGGTTAATATATTAAGTGAAAATGTATGTATGTTTGTAATTTAGCGAATGAAAAACTAAAAAAAAAAACAATAAAAGTAATATTAACAATAAAAAAATGAAAAAAAATATGTGACTAATATATATAATGGGAGTGCTTTGTATAGTGTAAAGTGCTAATGGCACTTTACGTTCATAACTAAATTTAGTTTAATCGTAAACTGTTATTCTAACTAATTCTATTAAACTCTCTCATTTATTAGATTAACTACCCACAAATTATTACTCAAATAATTAAATAATAAAAATAAACAAATTTAGTAATGTACATTGTACGAGTATTTGTGCAATAAACCAAAATGAAATTGAAAAAATTAAAATAAATATGCATTTTGTTTAATTTTTTTTGCCAGTGGAAACCCTTAAAAAGAACATGAAAAAACGTTAAATTCGGTTGCATCGAAGCTATGATAGCCACTAATACAAAATATTCCTTACAAGAACTTTGATCAGTCTGTTTGTTTGGCAGCTTTATGCATAGTGACTCGATCTAAACAATTTTTTCGGATATTGCATTATTGCATGAGATAATAACCAATGCCAGATTTCGTGAATATATCTCGTCAAATGAAAAAGTTTTTATACAAGCACTTGATTCCGATCGTTCAGTTTATATGCCAGGTATATGCTATGGTGGTCTGATATCGGTGATTCCGATAAAATTTCGATCAGGTTTGAATAAAATAAAAAACTCTGTACAAAGGGTGCTGCGCGAGCTCATAATCGACAGACTCACCACCTCACAAATTGCAAAATTACTGGAATTGGACTCCGAATTTATTTAGTAAGTTAATAAATCTCGTGTTCCCCGAAGTATATAACTCAAGAAATGGTCTCTACCATAAAAGTTTGGTAAATCTGGAAGATTTGTTAAAACCGGCGTAACGCAGTGTGAGATCATCAACTATGCGTGAAACTAAATATATGCAGAGAATGTAGTTTAACGGGTGTCTTGCCAATTTGAGTTCTACGCGGTGTTAGTAGCCACCATTCGCGACCAGCTTCTTGATTTTTCTTACTCGCTTTCTAAACAAAAAGTATGGATAGAAGAAATATAGCAACAGAAGTAATAGAAATACAATTTTTGATGAGTTTCAAGCCGTTAATTTAGTAAATTTGTTTACAATAAGTATTAAAATTTGGCTGTTCGTTTCGTTTTTAACATAAAGCTAAGTTTTCGATGACAATTTTTTATACCCTTTTATCAAAAACGCTGTCTCAAAAGGTTTACCATTTGCCTTGCTAAAGCTAGATTCGAGTCCGTAAGATCATTAGGAACGCTTTTTGTTAAAAAAAATATATACCTGCGCAACATGCGTTCCATAGAGGTACCAAATGTTGTCAAAATATATTTAAGCTGGCTGAGTTCGACGATGTGATTTTGTTTATGAATGCAAAAATGGTCTGTCGGAAATGAATTTGATCGCTAAAGTCTAACGAGGTGTAATAAGAGATGATTGACGTATATTTGCATGGTGTTACCAAAATGTTTTTACACGTAAATATACTCCTCTAACATAAAACTTGAAAATTTTTTTTGTCGATAGATTTATGAATACCTTTGGTCCAAAAAGTTAAGTATGAGGCGAGTTTAAATTGACTGGTTTTATCGACTTAGTGTGAATTTATGGGTTAAAAAATACCCCTTCAAGGAAAATTTATTATCTTAATTTAGAGATTTAGACATAACACGTAAAAGACTTTTCAAAACTTTCAAATATACGAATTTTTTAATTTAAAAAAAGTTTCACTGAGGTAGATTTTCTATAAAATCGTATGCCCTTCAAGATACTTAGGGTATTTACAAGGTATCATATTGTGCCATATCCTCATATTGTCTTATTTTTTTGAAACTTTCATATCAACACTGTTGTTGTTTCCCATACAAAATTGAAATACGAAAAATACAACACGGCGAGGTATGTTTTTTGAGTGTGATATTTTATCAGCTGTTTATTATACTCTCGCAACTTGTTGCTACAGAGTATAATAGTTTTGTTCACCTAACGGTTGTTTGTATCACCTAAAACTAATCGAGTTAGATATAGGGATGTATATATAAATGATCAGGATGAAGAGACGAGTTGAAATCCGGGTGACTGTCTGTCCGTCCGTCCGTAATGTAACTTGAGTAAAAATTGAGATATCTTCATGAAACTTGGTACACATGTTGAAGATGGGCGTAATCGGACCAGTGCCACCCCCACAAAACGACATTAATCAAAAATAAATAAATTTCCATAACTAAGCTCCGCAATAAGATACAAGACTGTTATTTGGTACACAGGATCACATTAACGAGGGGCATCTGCAATTAAAAACTTTTTTTTAAAGTGTCCCGCCCCTAATAAGTTTAATGTGCATATCTCCTAAACCGCTAAAGCTATAATAACAAAATTCACTGTTCACAAATGTTTTTAGCATCTCTATCGACGGTGTGAAAATGTATGAAATCGGTTGACAAGCCCGCCCACTCACCTTATAAATCGCAATAAACCAAGCACTACACACGCCAGAGACATTAAATTTTATATCTGGGATGGTATGAGATGATTTTATAGGAACCACCTTCAAAATTAGTAAGTGGGCGTGGCACCGCCCACTTTTAGATGAAAACCCATGTCTTGGGATCTGCTTAACCGATTTCCGTTCTTTTGATATTTCTATGTTATATTGCGAAAATGGGCTAAATCGGACTACAACCACGCCTATTTCCCATATAACCCCATTTTCAATTCCATCTGATTCTTTCACTTCCCACTATGCATATCAAGCAACAATGATTATATCGGGGTAAAACTTTGCGTGAATAATGCGTTTAAAGTATGCCACCTTGCGGCAAAAAATTGTCTAAATCGAACCAAAACTGTTCAAGCCCCTAAGTACTAAATATGTGGACCCCAGTGCCTATAGTTTACCTTCTACCGAAAATATCAGTCAATCCACAAGGAAATCTCAAACGAGTATACCATTTGACTTTGCGAGAGTATAAAATGTTCGGTTACACTCGAACTTAGCCCTTCCTTTATTGTTATAATTGGTGTACTCACGGTTTCATTTAATATTTCAGTAAAGAAGAAAATAAAAGGCATTTTTATTATCTAAAAATTTATTTATAAAAATAAACACATGTCTCTTTTAAATTGATATGATTCTTATGACCATGTCAGATGGAACACTTTACACATTGCTTTGACATTTAAAATTTTGGCAACTATTAAAGTATTAAAGTGGATCAACTTGCAACGTCTCTCAGTAACGCACGTTGAGCATCAGCTGACTGATGTATTTTTTTGTTTTCATTTTTATACTCTGAAACAATTGTGCCATTTGAATAAAAGTTAAATAACGTGAGTTAAGTAATTACAAATTTATATCTATCAAGAGTCGATCTTTCACGCAAAGCCGAAGAGTTCTATCTGACGTACTCATTATTCAACAAAACAATAACAAATGCATTTGCAATTTTTAATCCTTTCGTTTCAATCATAATTGTACAATGTTGATTACTTATAAAGCAGAAATATATTTTACAAACAAAACTTAAAACTACCTTAAATGAACAAGAAAGAATAATAGATTTAGAATTAATTTTAAAATTCGAAAATAATTACAAAATTTATAAAACTGTATGTTGATTTGTATTTGTTATGTGAAATTTAATTATTATTATTGATTGGCTACTAGAGGTAGCAAATTTTTTCAACTCTTCAACTGTCTGTGCAAATGCCAATTCATAAAAAATTTACACAATATTTATTATTTGAAATGCTACTAGTTTGAAGTGACAACTAACGACATTTCAGAATTGAATTCGAGATACAACACCATATCTTCAGAACTCTGACTATAACCATTTTGTAGTAACTTTACCTCATGAGTTGTTTACAAAGAAGACTGATGATGATAATATTCTATAATTTTGTCAATAATTTTGTAGGATCGACACTGTGGTTACAACAAATAACATAAAATTGTTTAAAAATAATGAAATTATTTACTGCTGATATTACATTTAATAAGTGTTATTTGACGATTTACTCCAAAATATGTACCGATACTGAAGTAAGTTTAAAAGCAATAAAACTGGGATATGGAAAGGGAACTTAATTTGCTCTCAAAACTAACTAAATTGATTAGATACGGAATTATGTATGAATGAAGGCATGAAGAAACTAGTATTTGAACACTATTGCAGAAACCAAGAGTAAAATTTGTTTCATGACGTAAAATTTAAAACTAAAAATATTTTTTTAATGCTAATAATATAACTTTAGGAGATATAAAAAAAATATTTTAGTAGTAGTTTGGCAAGTTTACGTTATATATTATCGATACCATAAGTTTAAAAAAAATTCAAAAAAAATAGCCAATTTCTCACTTGATACTCTACTTATATAAGTGTCTAATCAAATATTAAGTATGCCCATATTTTTTAATATTTGCCAGTGTATTTCATAAAAATATTACATGCAATCTTGCAACATTATTTAAATTTATTCAAACACGAGATAATTATTAGTTTTAATACTTTTCCTTTCTATTATAGACATATAGAAACAACAACTATTTGAAAAGGTGCGGTTGTTGAACAACATGCTTTACAAATTTGATTGATTGGACTCATGGAAAACTGTCTTCGGTACAGTTTGTTCTGTAGTCGAACGGCCAGTTCCCAAGAGCCACGTTTCTAATTGCTACTTATCGCTCAAGGGAACAACTTCGTATTCTAATAAACACTAACCAGAATAGAAGATTTTAAAATTATTAGTTTTTAGTTATATAATTTAGGTTGCCAAAACTACCATCGAATCATAGGTTAAAATTAACCTATATCTATGTAGGTGTAGGATTTTCAGCTTAGCTTCACTGTAAAACGTGTTAGAGAGCATCCAAAGTTTCCTATATAAATAACACTAAAAAAGCGATTTTCTTTAAATATACCATATATTTTAAATCATTTATGAGAAAATATTTTGCTTCGCAGATTTTGGTATAGTGTAAAATTTTCTTAAAAATCTACCTCAGTCGTTAATTTTTTCAATTCAAAAATTCATAATGTTAAAGATAGAATTCAAATATTTAGGAGATTTGCAAAGTGCAAAAATTATTATATAATATTTTGCTTCACTTTTCAAAGCTTTTACCTAAATAATGGTATTTAGTATAGTATATTGTATAATTTTTATTGCCAAAATTTAACCGAGGTAAATGAATTTGTTAGGCTTGTTTTTGCTTTATTTGGATTGAAATATTTAAGAAATCAATCATTTGATCTATAATATATCATAGGTATGTATATAAAATTGGAACTGAGAAAATTTTTGTTAAAGCCATGGTCAAAAGTTCGGTTGAAATTTTCAAGAAAATGTTTATCGAGAAAAATATATTTATGCAGGTCCAGGTGTAAATTGATCAACTAATCTCCGATGTTAATACAAAGGTTCAAAGATATAATCGATAATTATTCCGGAAATAATAACTCTCTTTATTATGTAGGGTATATAATCGGGGCTTCTTAGTGATAAAAAAAGGAACGTGGAGCATTTAATAATAGAGGCAGATTTATAATGGCGGAGCTATACATATTTTCTCTAGTCTGTTTCTCTAGTTCTGTATTTAAAAATATATTGCTCTTCTATTTGGAGATTAATCATTATAATGGCATAAGCCAGCTATTTTAGAATTAGTTGAGTATTTCAAAAATGTGTACGCTAAATCTTAAGGAGACAAGAACTGGTTTGAGAATAAATAATTGTTTGTTTCTCAGATTTCTTAGGATATGCTAGGGATTTTGAACATGGTTCTAAACTAAGCCCGTAATGTGTGAAAATTTATTTGCATCCAAACTAAAAATAGAAGAATTGGAAGCTTCATATGAAAACTCAACTAAAGCAAATCAAATAATGGTACATTAATGTATTATTCCTATTAAATATTTTGAAATTCCTCGATTATCTCGTTTTCAATTAAAATTGCCTAGTACGTACATAGATATACCGAATTATTTACAGGTGTTTTAAAAGTTCATTGCAGTGCGTGTTGCTTGTTAATAACATTTTGTTAGTTGTGCTGAAATTTTGCTGCCATTTGACAGGTGCATTTTACTTTTTTATTGAAGCCATTGAGTTGTTATTACGTCGTCTTGGTGATATGACGTCTGCGCCAAGAATTCCATTGCATCAGAAGACTTCCTCATGTGGTTGACTGATGTGGCAAGTTAAAAGCGCAGTGCATTACTAGCTAGATGGTGTATGTGGATCGTACACACGTACGGCTATGGCTACGTGCCACACTTAGAAGCGTCCAGCGAAGGGTAGGTTTTGTGACGTGGGCGGTGCAAAGTTGTTAATGCCACGGTTTAGTGCTAAAACATTACCAATTAATTTTAATTCTTCAAAATTTGTATAGTGAAATTTATCTTTATTACTTAAGCTATGTGTTGAAGAAATGTGCGGCGGCTTATTGCCGTTAAAGCTACTCAGCGAATTACTTAAGGTGCTAAAATTAGAATGCGTGGAACCTTTGTTACTGCTACTAAGGCTATTACTATTGATAATATTATTACTACGGCTATTATTAATGGTGCTAAAAGTGGTGCTAGTGCTACTACTCACTGTTCTTGCGATTTTACCTGGTGGTTGTTGCAGTTGCTGCTGCTGCTGTTGTTGTTGTTGGTAAAATTGTGCATTCTGCTGCAGTTGATTGCTAATTTGCGGATCCAAATGTTGCCGATAGAAAATTTGATTATCTAGCGTTTGCTGGTGTTGTTGCTGCTGCTGCTCTTGCTGGCTCTGTATTGACGGCGGTATGACCGATTGGACCGAGGAAAATTGTGTAATTGACTGCTTTTGGCCGAAATTAGATGTGCCTGCCTCCTGGCGGAACAAACGTGAGCGATGTTGTTGTTGCTGCTGCTGTTGTTGTTGTTCCAACAAAGTTTGGCTCAAGAAACTGGGCACTAATGGCGCTTGCTGTTGTTGTTGCTGCTGATGGAAGTGCTGGGGATTGTGTTGCGGCAACGCCTGGAACAGCGACACCTCTAACGGTGTTTGCACCGTCGGGAAGGTGGGTGCAAATTTAAATTGATTTGATGCCTGTATTTGCACCGAGGTGGCAGCATTTGCCGCTTGCGACTGCGTAGGATTCCCTTTCTGGCTCTGTAAGTTTTGCAAATTTTTAAAAATTTTTTGTACCGGGTCATTTATGGGCAGTTGTTGTTGTGTCACTGGTAAAATATTCGGCGTGTAATTGTTGCGCTGCTCGCCGTGCGCAAAGTTATTAATACGCTCGCGTAATGGTAATTGTTGATCGACGGGAAAAGTGTTGAAAAATGATGTGCTACTTTCGGTGACCGCGTTCGGTATGAATTCCACGGAGGGTCGTATGGTGAAGCTGACTACTTGCGATTGTTGTTGTTGCACCGTGGGTGGCGAGAGTGGCACTGATTGAGTTGGCTGTGCAGTTAATTGTGGATGCGATTGTGCTTGGTGTTGTTGTTGTATAGGTTGTAAAAAAGTTTGTGTAGTGGTCGCCGGTAATGATTGCACGGTCGGGTTCAGTTTCGTTTGCTCCTCCAGCAACTTCAGTTGACGCAATATTAAGTCTTGTTGTTGCTGTGCTTGTAGTTTGAGCTGATAGATTTGTTGTTCGAGTTGTCGTTGTCGCTCGATTAGATAATTGCTTACACCTTCTTGGTTGGGATTATCGTTAACGCCGACGGCGGTTTGGGAAGTTGGCTGCTACAAAGAAAATATTTAAAACAGTTATGAATGAGTTCCTTATTAATAAAGGAAGTTGACAAGGAAGATGAATAGCATAGTTTGATTTTATATAGTAGTTGACTATCTAGGCATCAATGCACAGTGCCAGACTCCTAATTAATGTAGCTTTTTTAGTATTTCAAGAGAGCTTGCGAAGTCTTCACAGGGTAAAGTCAGCGTGGGGTTTCCATTAAACTCTTGATTCTGCTACTGAACTTTTATAGTTATGAAGTAGAAAGTTGTGTCTCCCACAAGTTAAATAATACAAGCTATGAAGAAACATCAGCAATCCATTGAACACAAATTCGGAAGTACGCCAAGGCCTTTTTTTCTTCGCTTCGCTACACAAGAAAATAGGCATAGTATTTAGTCGCACACTATAAGAGTCAATCATCGAATTATAATAACTGATCATGAAACAGACCCGGATGACCACTGTGGGATGAGCAAGGCAAGAGCTTGATACATAAAAAATATTATCCGCATGCGTGAAATAAACGCTGTTGTATAATGGCGAAACATGACATCGAATTCCATTACTTAGAGATTCTAAGCATTCATCAACAAGTCCCTACCAATAATTTGCAGAATATTCTGACCCAAAACCATAATCATTAAATCGCTAGGGAGTTTAACAAAAGAAGCCAACTACAATTCAAGGAGAGCAAAAACTATTCCCCTATTAAAATTGACACCATGAATAGCTAATAAGTATCCACGTAGTGGATTATTACTCATAAGCTTTTTAATTTTTCATCTCCTAAGCTCAGCTCACATACCAGACGATGGGTCAAACTCCCTATCATACTTACCGTTATAAAATTGTTCACTGGCAAAATATTAGTAAATGGCGTTGTCGATGCCGCTATAATGTTGGTTGCTTGTGTGGGTGCTACAAGGCCAACATTACTGTACACTGCTTCACTCTGTGGCGCACTAGATAGCGGATTTGTGGACAGAACATTTAGCTTAGATATAGTGGGTCCAGCGGGGAATGACTGATGAGCATTGAGTGGTCGCTGTATTTTGGGCTGATCTACAATAGGTATAACATTCTTGGCTGCACCGCGTTCATCCAAATCGACGGTGAATGCCGTCACCAGTGGCGCCTCCTGTATACGTATATCATCTTTCTCTACCACTTCGATATTTTCACCATCTTCATTATGTGTGGGTCGTGGTGTGGTTGTAGTTGTTGTAGTAGTGGTGGTTGGACGTGGACGGCGTGTTGTTCGTGGACGTGCTGTTGTTGTTGTCGTAGTCGATGTACTTGTAGTTGTGGGTGAAGCTGTCGTCGCTGAAAGCCCGTGCGTCTTACGTATCTCAAATTTCACTTCATCCAAATTCTCCCCAGAGATTTCATTTAAACGCACGGCCGTGTTTGAGTTCTGGCCATTGCCGACACTGCGCGTACTCTGCCGGCTACTTTCGAATGTGCTGGAGGCATGCGCTGCGGTGTCATTATTGTCAATCGCCACTGTGTCTGTGTTAGACTTTTTGTTTACCTTCTTCCAAAAGTGCGATCGATCGATGAACGAGGCCAATGTTTGTTCGGGTGCATGTTTCTCATCGAAAATAGCAGTGTAAAATTGTACAGTTGGATGCACGTCGGCCTTATTGGTGCTCTCTTCGAGTATTTCATCTTTGGAAGTAGTGGTAGAAACACTGCTGCTGCTGTTCGAGTCGAGACCGCTGGCATGTAGTACCGTTGGCGATTCTTCGGCAGTGGGATTCTGATCTTCTGCATTTTCTTCATCGTAGTCTTCATAGGCCGCTTCTCTCTCCAACTTATCTATGGCACGTAACAGAGCTTGTCTTACGGAGTAATCTAATTTCCCAATTGCTTCTCGTGGAATTATTTCATTGGTCTCAGTCGAGTTTTCGTCCTCTGCACATGTGGCAATTTGGAATAGAGTGGTTAGGGAGAGCAATACAAGGCAGGCTAAAGTTTTCTAAAATGAAATATAGTGAAGTATTAATTAGTATTAGAATAAGCAGAACTGAAAATATCTGAAATATAGTAAACAAATAGGGAAAGGTAGTCTTAAGTGGAACGTTGATAAGTAAAAATTATTACACATATTTATTGAGATATCTCGCGCCCTGGTCGATTTGTACGGCATTAATCCAAACCAGTGGGTGAATATGAGTACATTGAATAAGGTGGCAAGGGAAATTAAAAACGGATTTTTATTATTTTTAATATAAAACTGAAAGGACATTATATTCGGCCAAAGGAAATAAGAGCAATATATAGACCGACTTCATTAATTAATCCCTGAATATAAAGTTTACCACGAAGTTTATAACACCCAGAAGGAAACACCGGAGACTCTATAGAGTATATACCATTTGATCAAATTTGACCCGGACTAACAAAAAAGAAATACATGTTCGCGAATTTCAAAATAAATATTTATTATAGCAAATATTTATTATCAAAATAGGCTTCTGAGTCAATATAAGCATGCCAACTCTTAGTTCGATTTTCCATATCCTTGTTATGGATGACCTTTAGTGCCTGCAGCGAATTTGGATTTTTTGCTAGATTGTTGGACAATTTCGACTTCCAGTACTATAGCGTTTGACAAAGGGTACTCATCTACGTTGCCAACCATCTCTTAAGCTTTCTACCCAACGCCGTTTTTCAAAAGATTCCGGTCTTTTGGTACGAGTCTAGTGTGGACTCGTTTCATGTTGTTGGGTCGGTCAATATACGAAACATTTTTTATCTATACGCTTTGCGCGCACAGTTCATATGGTCCAGTCCCAGTCAGTTTTGATCAAATGGTGTATAAATGATCCACGAGACATCTCAATCGATTTAGACTTAGTTTTTGAGATATTCAGTTAAAATATTGCACAGGTTCATTTGCAGAAACTGTCGATATCGGGGAACAACAGCCATACAAAAGGAATCTATTAAAATCAAATTCTTGTACGGATTTTGTTTTCATTTCACCATTATTACCAAATTTTGAATGTAATGTTGCATTACATTTTTGAATCTTCACACTTAACTGCCGTAAAAATACATAATGCACTGCAACCGTCTAAGATTTCGTTTGCCAATCTCTGCGCATGCGTTTAACTGCAGAGCTAATGCATATGCTAAATTATTTATGTGGTGGTATATAAATATATACATATATATGTGTGTTAATGCGCAAAACTGTGCAGACAAATTACGTTGCAAATATCAGATCATTTCAATCTTTACGCTAAATTCCTGCGCAATTAACAGACGCTCGTATTACTCGTTCACGCAGCCGCACATTTGTACTGATGCATGTAAGTACATACATATATCCACTATAACATTCGCTAATGTACCAACAAACTACTTGTATGCAAATGAAAATATGAATGTGGCATAGATAGGCATGATGTGGCAAAACCGGCGGTGGTGAGGTGTCGGCAAATTTGCATGCTCTATAAATTTTGCTGAAAAACACCCGTGTATTATATAATTTATTAGATGCTTTTCATTACAGTCTTTTTTTGCACCACTTCTACTGCTACTACCATTTATAAGCAGATTCGTAATTTGAGCGCATGATTTGTTCATTTGTTCGCCAAGCTTTCCCTTGTGGATATTGATTGTTTTGTTCCGATAATTCAATAAAAATATATAGCAATCATTCGCTGCCAAAAAACATAGAATAAAGCGTTGAAATCGAAGCCACGCTAATTATTCCCCTTTGCAATAAACCAGTTCTTTGATATTAAAGTGTGAAATTAGAAAAATTTAGGGTCCACTTTTTATGTATTCTTCTTCAGCTTCTTTGTAAACTTCTGTTTAACGTGATATTGCAGATCTTTCCATAGGGATCAGTTAAAAAATTGCACTATAGGCACACTCCAACCGCCTTTGCTTGAAACCAATTTCGATGCAAATTATAATCATTCCGTTGCTCTGTTGGATGGTCTAAAACTTGAATCTTTTTGTTGCTTTTGCTACGCAGATAGACTAGACCGTTTAAAAAATACTCCACTTCATCCCGACTTAGCTACACCTTACCTATCACTATGTGCCATGCAATTCCTATAAAATGAAAAAAAAAATGTATACGACCTTTTTCTTTTCACGAGCAGTCAAAGGTTCTATTGGTATTGACGTCGCTGCTTGAACCACATTTTTTTTTTCAAATCTTCAAATCTCTATAGGCCACTACTGTCTGGTTTTCGGCTTTTCTGTGGGAGAAGAATCTGGTTGGAAGATCCAATGGTCTCTGCTAAATAGAGTATTGCTTAACTGCTTTACCGCGCCTTCTAAACAATATTGTTATTACACTTTTGTCCCAGTTTTATCCACTTTATCACAGAAGTGAAATGGTGAAACGCTTTAACAAGAGAATCCTCGCCACACTATTACAGCTGTTGGATTACGTTCAACCCTTGGCATAACCTTTTTTACCTCTTTGAAAGTTTTCGATTAGATTTTATCATTTTGCTTATTAAAAACTTTTTCAACAGTGTACATTTTTTCATCTGTAAATAATATACTTTCATGGCCGTCAGTGGCGCTTGACACAGATGAAGCCGCTGGCATCTGTTGAGCCTAATTTGCTTCGAGTGCTTTATCAAAAGGCGGTTGGCTTTCATGCGTAGATCATCTCGAATAAGTCTTAACATTATTCTGGTCGATATATCCATTTCTCTCGACATATTACGTTTGCGAACAGTGCTTTGGTCTGAATTGCTTCGAATCACGATAGAATGATCACTCTTCTCTCATCCGAACGTAATTTTTGGCTTCACTCTTTCGCCATAAAGTGAAGTCTAAAATTATGTAAACAGACCAAAAACATGTTATATTCATACATGTCGAAGAGAAATGTACATTTCGATGAGCTAAAATGCAAAACGTATTTTAGATATGTTAATTGCAATATTTTCCATCGGCATGTGCACCAAAGTATGAAACGAAGAGTGTTTTGTGGATGGCGTGTGAGCATGGGCTTAAAAATCGCCCATCTTTTGCCGCAAGCCGACACAACACGCGCTAAGCCTGCTTCTAGCTCAGCGGACGACCGCACGTTAAATGAGTTGTGTTTGTGGCAAAGTCACGTTAAATGACCACACACTCATATACTGATATGCGAACAAACAAGTGTGGGCATTATGGTGTTCGCCATGCGATTTCAGATAACTGTGAGGCGAAAAAATATTTTCAATTCCGCAACAATTTTCACATTCAAAGCGAAAATGAGAAAAAATACAATATGTTAACTTCGGCTGCACCGAAAATATATCACCGTTCACTTCTGAATTTCTAATAGCATAATACCCTTTTAAAATATCTTTATTTTGATTTTGGTTTTGTAGTTTGTGGAAATTGTAGCATTGGATACTAGTGTTTGCCAAATTTTGGAAAGATACTTTGTCAAATTAAAAAAAATTCCATAGAAGAACCATAAAAGTATAGTTAAACTACAAATTTTATATTTTTAAAACTTAACTTAGATAAAAAAACTACATATACTATCTACAAGTATATTTAATGATTCAGTCTTCGCCGTCTGTGTAAGTGAGCGCTCGCATAAAAATTTAAATAGCTTGGAAAAACTTGGCACTTAGTCTGTACAAAAGAATGTATCGACTACAAAAGGGGTTGGACCGAATTACTTAACTCAAACTTGACCTTCAACATACTGACAGGAGAAATATAGAGTTTAAAACTGTTGGAAATTCGATGTGGCTTCATCTTCAATAAAGTTTACTTTGCAATGTCTGGTAGTACAGTACTAGTCTGGAGTGTCGATGGTTCAGCTCAAATACCTTTAAATGCTAAAATAATATAAAATTTACATATATCAACCCAAGGCCCCGATATATATAAAATTTAACACTTGTAAATAAAATATTTATTAAATATTCAAAATAAAAAATTAGTTTATCTTTGTTTGAAAGTACAAATAAATTGTTAAAATTTGCCCATAAAAACGTATGTTATCTACCCATAATCGGATAACAATACAACCAATTAACTGAATGCCTTCATAAATATATCTAGTGAATTCAGCTGCAAACTATTATGCGGTTCACTTCAGTGACGTTTTTGTTGGACACATTTATGCTTTTGTAGAAAAAGCTCTTTCCATTGTCTAAGCAATATGAGCATCAAGTTTCAAAACGAAATGAAATGTCGACAACAGTGCAAATTTCAACATGATTACTCCCAACCCCTAATTTATCGCAACTAAGTAGGGGGACCATCTGCTGTTCATCATTTCGATGTTGATCAAATAAAATAAAATATCAATGAATAGCCAAATTAACATCATAATATATGCACCATAGAGTATTTTATGATGTCTGAAGATAAATAAAGAAAAACACATTTGGATATAAGGTCAATAGTACCTGTGCATTGTTAGTTTTTATTCTTAACTTTTACGATTTTTGGAATGAAATATTCGCAGTAGTCGTCAAAGTGTTCAAAACAGCCAGCAATAAGACACAATGTCGGTCAGATGACACTACAGTTACCTTGTGGGAGACTATTTCTCATTGCACGAAAGTTGTCGTTGCCGTAATTTTAATGAACAAAGCAATGCAATCTTATATCTTATTATATTGAGTGTTTCGGGCACTTTTTGAAGGTGGAACGTTATGATAAGAATAAAGTACCATAATTATGGAGAATGAAGCAAGAATATTAAAGGTTCTGGTTGTTAGATCTGCTCATTCTCTGTTCATAAGTTTCCGTAAATTGTAATTTCTCCAGCATCGGGAGAAGTATAAAATATTATTATACAATAAATTAAATTATACTAATAAATATCTGGCTATTTTTGGTATAGTACAATGATAAATCATATTTTTATTCTCCGCTGAAACTCACCTAATAGCTGCGACCTTATAATGCAAACACGAAATTATGACTTTTTGTAAGATCTTCTAAGTCAATGGGCTAGAACTGATATATGATCAAGCCCAACAGATCATT